GGATCATAATTTGCTCATCATTGGACATAATAAATTTATCAAATAAGAGTTCCATATTTAAAATATATAGAATGTGACATAAATCTCGCATTGTAAATTGCACCTGGTGTGTGAACTTTGAATATTTTGTTCAGTTAGTTTTCCCCCAAGGTATATAATAGTTAATTCAATTAACTCAACATAATTTTCTTGCGTAAATATTTTCTCTTCGAGGTATTGGTAACCCATTTCAGAACTAAACTTGCTTGATTAAATATTTTTGATTTGATGTCAGTAGGCGATTCAAAAAAATTAAAGTTTGAGTAATCAATATCATTGGCCCATTATTTATCCCATTATGCATGTAACATAACCATTTTCAAAAAATTGTTGGAAATGAAACACCCTAACTTTACATCCTTAATATTATATTACTCTTATATAAATACATTAAAACCTACTATTAGGCACAATCGACCTTCGCCATTGGTACATCACTAATACATATTAAGTAAGTGTGTTTAGAATAACATATCTGACACCACACTGAAATAGCCTGCCAGGGGCTTCAGTACATACATCAAATATCTTATAGCCTGCTGCCACAAAGGAGTGTCACTACATTAACTGAGGGTTTAGGCTGGTGCAGCAATCTTTCCTTTCATTACACTTGTAATCTTGCCATCCACAGCTTGCAAGGTTACAAGTTCAAATTTTTCATAGAGAACTTATTTTTTTGTTTGTTTTTCATTTTTTTTTAAAAGTTTGAAATAGTTTTATGATTATTGACTAAAAGCATAAAATTTTATAATTAATAATTCTTTTTTTCAAAGTTTCATAGAATATGTGAATCAATGTGTGCATAAACTGACTGCGATAATCATAGCCACAGTGGAATGCACATACATCGATTGATATAAATATGGATAGGCACAGTAAAGTGTACATACATTGACTTGAGGGTTTAGGTTTGACAAGCATTTTTTTATATAAAAGAAAAGAATTTCAATACTTAATAAAATAGAGTTTGTGAATTAACATAATTTATACAAAAAATTATTAAATTAAGTTAAACAAGATTTTTAGGTGAAATAGCCAAAAAATTAGTAATAAATATATATGTACAAATAAGAAAAAATTTGTTTTACAAACAAATAAATTATGTGTAACCTAACTAAATATAGTGTAAAGTAATTAATAAACAATACCTTTACTGTTTTAATTATTTGATGAAAAAAAAATTATTTTTAACTTGTATTTCCAGAAAACTATTTGGATATCCGGAAAAAATAAAATTTTAAAGAAATATCCGGAATATCAGAAAAAAATAACACTTGGACTTTTTAATAAAGTACTCTAACTAAGCATTCAAATTGCAAAAAGATACAGGATAAAAAAAAGATACAAGGTAGAATTTATATAATCAATAAAAAAGACTTATAAAACTTAACAACGATAAGTTTTATAAAATTTAAGATAAAAAAGCCAAAGGAAATAAAAAAGCATGAAAAGTGTACAAACCAAAAAATAAATATATATGCTGTTTATATAAAATAATACACAAAAAATTAATGAGTACTCTTTTAAAATTGTTATCACCAAAGTTTGGATGACAAATAAAAAGAAAAATTAAGTTTAAAGTGCAGACCAAAAGATTAAAAAAATTATTTTTTCTTTTTATTCATTACTATTGGTTGCATAGTATTTTTTCAGAAAAAAAAATAAATTAATTAAAAAACATTTACAATAACTCTAATTTTTTTTTCTTGAATAGGAGTAGCACCAAGCTCCATAGCATGTCTTCCTTGAGCAATCTTAGAGAGATCATACACCAAGCGCTCAAATATGTTTGCTGAATGTAGGTCACAATCATAGTTTACATAGACATCAACAACTGTTTGAGGATCTATAACATATATAAATGAACATGGAAAAATTATATAAAATTGACAAAAAACTTAACACAAAAATGACCCTAACCCTAACCTTGACAGATTACCAAATGTCACAACAAATATTAAAATTAAAAGTCAGAAAAATCCAACAATCTTAAATTAAAAAAAATTGAAGAAAAGTAAACTGACCAGAACATATCTTGGTCAATGCTTGCATTACCATCCATTTATGTTGAAATGAGCTAGAGGATGTTTCTAGAATATTGAGGAATATCTCACGAAAAAAAACCTATGCGATAAAAAAATTTTTTTTTTCAAAGAGTTGTTTTGTTTATAATTTTGTTGCTTTTAAAGATTATTTATTACTTATTTAAATTTATTATATGTTTTATATGTTTTAACTATATTATGTTTTAAATAATTCATATTTCAAATGATATACTATTTATTACAAATTTACTATATATTATTACAAATAATATGTTATTACTTTAATATATTTATATTATCAATTATATGCTTCAATATTTCAAGCTTACTTTTTAATTTTATTCATTAATTATATATAGAATTTGATATCTTATATCTAAAGTACAACCATTCAAATAATATTATTTGAATGGTTGTACTTTAGATATAAGATATCAAAGTTTAACTTGTTATTGGAGAAACTGAAAATAAAGTCTGCCTGAATTATGAATTACCTTCCTATTTATTAGGTTTACAAAAAAGACAATATAAAATCCCATTAGATTAGTTTATGATTTACTTGCTTTTTAATCACCCTTAGCAACAATAAGGGTGCTATTCATATTCTTGGCATTCTACATACAACTTACCCAATTTGACAATATCATTTTTATGCCACTAAGAAGTTTTTTCACATTTTATGCATTATAAGACATTAGTTTTTGACATTACTTTTAATTCCCCTTATCAAAATCTGATAGGAGAGAGATCTAGTGATTGGGGAGGCTAAATCATTTTATTCAATATTTAATAGTTCTCAAACTCAGTCAAATAACTTATACAATTTTTTCGAAAAATATGTTTCGGATTTAAACTCAATTTCTTCTGAAAGATTAATGGCTTTCCATTGACCTATTTTTTTGAAGGTGTAGCATTTTTTAAGTGAACTAGCAAGATTTTTAAAGTAAACTAATTTTGTGATTACTCCCTTTATTTTTACATGGTCGCTTGTGGCATTCCAACCAAAACAATCCCATAACATTCACCATGTTTTAGAGTTGATAATACACCTATTTTATCATACATTCAACAATATTTTTATCTAGGCAAACAATCTTATCAAATACCAAAGATTTTAAACTTCGACACGTTGGGCCACATTTACAGTCATTGATGGTCCATTTTTTATGTAGTTTTGTCCACTTGAGCTTTTTTATTATTCTTATGATTTTTATCAAAGCATTTTAATTAAAATACTTTTAAATTATCTAATAGTACAAAAATAAACATAAAAAATAGTTAAATAAAAAAAAACATTTAATAAAAAAGTTTGTCATTCGAATAATTATGAATGGTAGTGTATATTCATCTGGGGCTATTCTAGACTGTTTTCGATAGCATCGACCGTATTTGGGCAATGCTATTGAAAAATTTGGGCAAATATTATTTTTTTCGCAAAAAAAACGCCGATTTTATGCTAAAGTTTGCCAGAACAATGGGTACCGCCGCCCTAATTTTTGCTAGAATATGCTCTGTATTTTTGTATTTAGATTTTTAAAAGAAATACAAAAATATATATATTGCTATATATTAAAATATGAATATATTAAAACATATAAATTATCACAAAAGATTTAAAACCTCCCATACCCACAAGTAAATTGGAGATATTATATCAAAAAAAATACTTACTTCAATCTGCATTTTCAGATGAGTTTTAAAATCTGAAAGAAGAGTCAAAAACAATGACAATGAGAGCTCGAACACAATTGGTATAGATGAAACACCATTCTTTGACAAAGCAACACAGAGATACTGTTTAATAGCACTAATAAACATGTCACTGGTTTTGAAGACATGGCCTGCATTTTGAAGACAAGCAAGAAGCAACTCAAGAGATAAAACTTTTGAACGCAACTCATGAGATCTGATAAAAACAAAAATAGCTAAAAAAAATAAAATGTTTAGCTTTTAAGCAAAAGATAAATCAAAACATCAAAAGCTGAAAAAAAGAATTCAAAATACTATTCTTTTAAAATCAAAGTCTATCAACCAACTTAGGATCCAGTGGTGTTTCTGGTAACTGTTTCATTGAAAGTTTACACAATGATCGAAATACAAGAAAAGTGTCACGCTGGAGAATATGAGCAAAGACAGACAATTGTTTGCCTGAATGTATCTCTGACTGCACTTCTGATGAATCATTTAATAGAACCTCTGACGTACAATTTTCTGATGGTGAAACTGTGTCCTCCACTTTTTTTAGTAAATTAATATCCACTGAGGTACTTGCTTCGCTGCAATTTGTAATGGGTGATTGATCTGAGCATCTTGATGAGATTTCTTCAATTTCCATATTTTTGAACATATCGCCTATATTTCAAATAATAAAACTATATTCATATAGTTCAAATAATTTCTAATACATTTAAAATTTTTCTTTTTGTTAATTTTACAACTATAAGATATTCAATAAATTCCCAACACAATCAAATTTTTTTATTTCTTATTATTCTAAAGAAAACTTCCCAAAACTCTCTAAAAAAATCATTATTTGCATGCGTGCTTTAAAGTTTTAAATACTTTATTATATTGCATGTAACCAAATCAAATAAATTGTAACTTACCAACACTATTATTTGATAGAGAATCGTTGCATAATTCTTTTAAACTCTTAGGAATCTGCGGAAGTTTTAAATTGTTTAGAATACTATTATCAATAATTCCTAAAGAGTTTTGTTCATCTTCTGATGTAGGTGATGTTAGTTTTTCAGATGTAGAGACAGATGGTGTTAGTTTATCAGATGTAGTTACTGGTGATATTACATTTTCATTAATATATTCCTCTGGATCTTCACCAGATGTTTCATCTAAATTTTCTGATGTTTTCTTATTAATAGAGATATCAGAGTCTGAAGTAATCATCTGGTTTGTATTCTAAGAAAAAGAAAATTGCAAAAGCTTTATTTGATATACCCATTATTAGCAAGTTAAATATTACATACAATGAATGTATTACATAAACCATTTTTACTTAATGTTATAATGTAATATCAATTATAAATGCTTAAAAAACAAGTAGCTAACCTACATTATATTATTGATATTATTGATTTATATTATTTATATTTATAACCATTAACCATAAAGAACTTAGTTTATTATTTGCCAACATAGACAAAAAAGTTCCAAAAAAAACTTTATGGTTCAGATTCAAACATTCTTTGCCTGAATCTAGTAGTTTCAGAGTTCTTAAAATATTTGGAAACTAAAATCATTAAGTAGAAAAAAACAGGTTTATCAGATTCCTGAAATCTATCGTTTTTGAAATAAAAGTCCAGAGCCCATAGTAACTCATTAGATTAGTTATGAATCGGTTCAAAAAAAAAACTCATAGTGATATGATTATTTTTAAATAAGAAAGTTAAAAAATATTTTTTAAACTTATTTACAAAAGATTGATTCTTATTGAAATTTTATTTCTAAAAATACTATTATCATTTATATATTGTTTAAAAAATGGCAAATATTATCTACATTAAAGTTTGACAGTTTTTAAAACTGGTTTAAAAAAACCTGTCTTTATAATAGATTTGAAACATGCAAAAACCCGTTTTTAAATTAGGAAAACTGGTTTTTAAACAAAGGCTATAATATAATAAAATTGTTAAATAAATTTCATAAATATTTATGTAATAACTTGAATTGCATTTTGAGATAAAAAAAAAAACAATAATGTTAGAAGTTTCAAGTTGAAATAGTTGCAAAAAGTCAGGGCACTTAGCAAAAATAAAATTTTGAGCTAAAAAAAGCGCATCAACAAGAAATCTTAAAAACAATTAAAAGCAATTCATAAAATAATTATCCCAAAAAAATCAGAAACCGTTTGCAAAGAAGAAACACCTGAACCTTCCATTTTTTCAAAAGAGTAAATGAATATTTTAAATTTTATGAAAGTGAAAAAGAGTAGTTTAAAAGAAATTATATCAAAACTTGCAACAATAGATGAAATTTCTATTAATAGTATTATGAATAGCTTACTTATATGAGAGATCAACAGTGAGGATGTTCATTACAAAGAAACAAATCCAGAGTAATGAATCTCATTTATCCATTTTATGATGAAGTCAAACTTGGAATTATTACATAATTAGATTTAATAAAAATGAATGGGGAAATATTTTTTATGACTTTAAACAAGTGGATAAACAAAAGAAATCATAGATATTTAAATATAAATGTATTTTAATTTAGCAGAAGATTTTAATTTGAGATTATTTCCAATAGCTGGTTCCTGTGATGCTTAGATAACATTGGTATGAGTATTTTATATTATTATTAATAATAATAATAATATAAAATATCAATATGCTTAAGAAATGCCTGAAGTCTTGTCACAAAACACTGTAAAAGAGCATTTGACCAGAAGCTCATCTCCTTTGTTACCAACTCGAACCAATACTCAGATTGAGTATCGGTTCGAATGCTACACCTTGTTAAGAGGCGTTACCAAGCTCGCATTTTTCGTGCAAAAAGGCAATATGCCTACGCGTTCAGCAGTTTAACGTTAAGAGAAAACTTTCATCTTTTAGAATATTTAATTTTTATTTTGATATCGTTGATGTGACGTTTATTCAGAAAATATAATGTTGTAAGTAAAAGCATTTAACCGCAATTATGATCTAATAGTTTTTTTGTTAAAGAAACTGTTTATTAATTATGTTCATTTTATGTCTAACGATTTTTGTTTATTTATTTATTGTTTTAAAACAATTAATTTTTTTATCCCATTAAGAAAGAACTGTTTATTTAAGTATTTCCTTATTATTAAATTTCGAGACCCAGGGGCGATTTTCCTAAAAAGAGAGGAAGTGAACATTCAACTTACACTTAAATATTTTTTATAAGACATTCGTCACTTTTGAAGGATTCATCCTTTTCATTTTATTCACAAAACTGCCACTGGCTAGACCTGCAGATAAGCATATGTTTGAAAGCTTAGTTGTTTAACTTTTATTTAATATTTATCAAATTTAGAAGTAAATTATATTTTAGTGTTGAAGTTGCTTTTATGCATAAATTTTTTCAATATCTTTAATTTTTTATATTGATCATAGAAAGAAGGTGGATTAGAAATGATTAACTAGACGAATATTTTACCATAGTCAAGTTCTTTACAAAAAATTGTCGATATATTTTTTTGCTTTGTTTAAGCACTGTTTAAAACTGTAAACTATAGTAGGAAACTATACTTATAAATAAATGAAGCTTGTAAATACTATTAGAAAAAAAAATATCTTTTTATTTCTTTTAATTTCAATCGTGACTGTCTAAGAAAATAAAAAGTCTACTCTGTTTAGAAAATAAAAAAATTTATTTTAATAACGTCTAATGAAAACTTGCAATGAAAGCAATATGATTTAGATACAAAAAGCTATCAATATGGTTTAGATACAAAAAGCTATATGCAATAAAAAAAAAAATTTGTCTGTGAGTTTGCGCTATAAAATCAAGCTAACGATCTAGACAGTTGGCAAAAAAACGTACCATCTAGGTCAGAAAGAAACCAAAAAAAGCTTATAAAAATACCTCAACAAATAAATAAAAATTATTTTGCGCAGCAATTTCTTTTAGAGAAAAACTACTAACGTCTTCGACAAAAAATTAATTTTGCGAAGCATATATAACACGAAGAAAATACTTTACATGTTCACAATAACTTGCAACAACAACATTCTTTCTTTATAATAATATTTGCTATTAACTCGCGTGTAACAATCTTGACCAGTAATGGCCACTAACTATGCGTCAGATACAACCTACAGACACTTTCATCATACAAATAAAATTTTGAATGGATGCAAAGTAGTATGCTTCAAATGTCTTGTACCCAAAAAAAGTAAAAGTAACGAGTTATGCGGTAAAGAAAATACATGTGCCGCAAAAGCTCACATTAGCAACCTTATAAGATACTTATCTAGAAAACATGCGGATGTTTATCCTCATATGTTAGAAAAAGAAAAATTAGAAAAAAAAATAGAAGAAAAGAATAAGAAGCAAAAATATACAGTCATCAAAGGCAGCATTTCGAGCAATCCATATTAAAGTGTTTTGTACCACATACAAATTAGTTTGCATATTACAAAAAATGAGTTTTTAGAAGCCTTAAACCAGCTGGTTTTGGTTGAAGGTCTTTCATTCCAGGTTCAATTTATTTTTTTTGTTAGTAATTATTTTTTAATTAAAAAAAAAATCTAAACAATTATATGTTTTTTTGGCATTTTTAAATTAACGTTTATCATTCTAAAAACAATATCTATAGGCATTTGATAGGGAACCTATTCAAAAGCTTTGAGGAAAAGTTTCATCTCATTTTAGATTTAAAATGAATAGAGATAATATGAGAATTCTAATTATCAATCTTGCCAAAAAGCATCATGAACAAATCAAAAACAAATTATCGAAAATGCTAATTTATTTGAAAGTCGATTCTACATCAAGGTACATGCGTCACTACCTCGGTATAAATGCCCAATACTCGAACAATGATGAAATTGCTGTGATCAATCTTGGCACCATAGATACGAAGGGAAAACAAACGGCGGAATACACAAAAAAAAATTATTGAGAAGTGTTTAGATAAGTTTGGAATCAATAAAACTAATATTTTAGGCCTCAGTGTTGACAACGCAGCAGTGAGTAACATATTTTGAAATTCACTATATTTTTAGTTAATGAAAAAAATTTTAAATTATGTGATTAAAGTTATTATTTTCCATGAAATCATTTAAAAAATAAACTATTTTGATAAAATCTTTTGTATACTGTAAGGTATATTCACTAAACTTTAAATTAACTATTGAAATCATGTTTAATATCTTTAGGTAAATATAAAGTTGGTGCGCGACTTTGGCATCAGTGCCAATTTCCTCAATCAGTGCTGTTGAGGAAATTGTAGATGACGAAGACAATTTTTCATTAGAAACTGATGAATTTGACGAAGATGGTTATTCTAAAGCAGACAATGCGGCAGCAGTCTTGGCAAGTGGAGTTGCCAGTAGCATGAGTGTTATACATCTTCAAAGATGTTATGTCCACACTTTACAGCTAGCCGTAAATGATGCATTGAAAAAGCCAACAATAAAAAATCTAATTAACAATGCCAGAGATGTTGTCAAAACTGCAAGAAATTCAAAGTGGATTGACTTCTTCAATGAGACTCCACATCTCATTCCAATTTTAGATCAGGCTACCCGTTGGTCTAGCCAGTTTAATATGATTGAGAGGCTAATTAAGGTAAGTTATAAGTTATAACTTAGAAGTTTTAATCAAAGTGTATAAACCAGTTTTCTAACCGGTATAATATAAATCCAATTATTTCAATGGTAATGACATTTATACTACTTAATAATTTTTAAATGTTAGTTTATGCAAATATTTCTTTAACAATCCTCTTTATTTAAGTAGTTAACAACTTTGTACATATATTTAATGAATTTTTCTGTTCTTCTAGATTCGACCAGTAATTCAAAATCTAAATATGCAAAAAGAGGCTCCTAAAGAATTTAATGTGCGACCATGTTTTTGGGGTATGTGGGAGGAATAAAATCAAAAAAGCAGTAGAACGCAACTCTTTTGCAGTTTATGTGTCAGACTCTGAGGAGAATGCTTCACCAGTTGCAAAGCATCGACCAAATTTATTTAAGTTGTGTGAACAGGAGGTTCAAGAAAATTCTTCAGAAGAACAAATGCAGGTTCAACTAGATGTAATCGAAAAGGAGTTTCAACTAGCTCTAAAAACAATTCCAGAAATCCGTTTAATGTTTAAAGACAAATCATCCAACTTAAAGAGTTTTTATAACTTAACCCATTAAAATCAATTGAGCAGTTCCCTGAAGTTGTACTGGATGCCTGCCATGTCGCTTTATCGCTACCCA